TCTCTCTGTCTCTCTCTCACTGTCCACTCTGCCTGTCCAAAAAAAAAAAAAAAAAAAAAAAAAGAGACATTAACTTACAAACAGTAATGGGTAGGTGTCCTGGTGCAGCCGGGACTTGAACCGGTGCCATTTTGGGATGCTGGCACTGCAGGTGGCGATTTTACCCACTCGGCCACAGTGCCAGCCCCACAAGCCTCAATTTTTAAAAGAATGACAGAGAAAGAGATATCTGCTATCCACTGGTTCACTCCCCAAATGGTCCTAACAGCAAGGCACCAGAAAATCCATCCGGATCTCCCACAAGGGTAGCAGGAACTCAAGTACTAAGTCAGTATCTGCTGATACTCAGGCACATTAGCAAGAAGCTGGAAAGCAGAGCAGCTGTGTCTCAAACCATTACTCCAAAGTGGCAACTTAACCCACTATGCCACACCTGCTTCTCAAGCCCCAATTTCATCATTGCTCAATAGGGAGAACAACATTAAATAATCACTAGTCTGTCACTTAGAACTAAATAATTTCTAAGATTTTAGAGGAGACTGAGACTGGTGATCATTTAAGAGGCTCTTTTTTGAAAAAAAAAAAAAAATCACTTTTATTGAGGTATAATTTGCATACAAATAACCCCTTGTAAGTGTACATTTTGAAGCCAGCACTGTGGCATGGGGGGTTAAGCCTCTCTCACTGTCCACTCTGTCAAAAAAAAAAAAAAGTAGATGATGTTCCAAGTACTTCTTGAGTCCCTGTATCCACGTTGGAGACCTGCAAGCTTCTGGCTCCTGGCTTCAGTCTGGCCCAGCCCTGGCTGTTGTGGTCATCTGGGGAGTGAACCAGCGGATGGAAGATCTCTAACTCTGCCTTTCAAATAAATCTTTTCTTTTTTTTTTTTAAAGTGAGTCATCACTAGTTAATTCCAAGTATCATAAACATAGAGTATTAATAGTTGGCCTTTTATCTCTTAAATGTCTTAACAATGTGAAAGATATTTAGAAGTTATTTTAAATAAAACGCACATCTATCATAAATGGGAAATAAACTTATTTCCCATGAATCTTTAGAAATTGATGTTGATAGCTTTATTAAACAGAAAACAATGAAATTATAATATATAACTTACTTAAGGGTCACAACAGTTGTTTTCCTACCATGAATATCTAACAGTAAATAAAGAATGGGATTATTCTCCTATTCTAAGAGGAAACAGGTTTTCCTATAGAGATTATTTTCCCAAGTCTAGAGATAGCTCATCGTGGCTTAGGGTAACAAATTAATAATGACATTCAAAGAAAACACACTTAAAGAGATATAGAAAAATCTTCCATCCACTGGTTCACTCCCTAAATGCCTGATAGCCAGGGCTCGACTAGGAGCTAGGAGCTCAGACTAGGTCTTCCATATGGGCAGCAGGGACCCAAATACTGGACTCATCACTCGTTTTCTCCCAGGACGCACATTAGCACAAAGCTGAACTGGAAGCAGAGTAGCCGGATTTGAACCAGGCACTCCAATATGGGATGTGGGTGTCCCAAGTCACAACTTAACTGCTGCACCACACGTTCATCCCAAAAGACATACTTGTATTAATTACTCACAATTTTATAAGAGGTAAAATTTTTTTTTTCAAAATAATTTTAAAAGATTTATTTGAAAGGCAAAGTTAAGAGACTGAGAGACAGAGATCTTCATCTCCTGGTTCAATCCCCAAGTGGCTCTAACGGTTGGCATTGAGCCAGGAGCTTCTTCCAGGTCTCCCACATGGGTGGCAAGGGCCTAACGGATGCAGACTATCTTATGCTGCTTTCTCCAGGGCATCAGCAGGAAGCTGGATTGGAAGTGGAGCAGCCTGGACTCAAATTGGTGCCCATATAGGATGCCAGCATTGCAGGCAATGGTTTTACTTGCCATATCACAATGCCAGCCCCCAAAATAATTTTTAAAAATGGAAGTGGGGCCAGTGTTGTGGTCAAGCAGGTAAAACTGCTGCTCACAATGCTAGCATCCAACACTGGCATGCCAGTTCCAGCTTACCAGTTGCTCTACTTCCAATCTAGTTCCCTGCTAATGTGGTGGAAAAGCACAAGATGGTCCAAGGACTTGGGTCCCTGCTGCCCACGTGGGAGATGCAGATGGTTTCTGGCTCCTAGCTTTTTCCCTGGCCTAGCCCCAGCTGTTGGGGCCATTTGGGGAGTGAGTCAGTGGATGGAAGATCTCTCTGCCTCTGTCTTCCCCTTTTTATACCTCTGCCTTTCAAACAACAATTAAAAAAATTTAATGAATAAATATTGACATGGACAAGCAAAGAAAAGTTAGGCAAATTGGGAGGCTCGGGTGGAGACACCGAATTAGATCCATTAGAGCTGCAATGAGGAAACTTTCCTACATCATTTGGATATTTATAACATCAGTCATGGGTTACAGAAATTATTGATTTAAGAACTAGCCTGCTGTGGATTTACTGAATTTCAAGTCCCACTGGCAGTTGCTTTGGCCTTGTACAGGCTGGAGGCCAAACATTGCTCACCCCTGCTTTAGAGTGTACAGTGCTCTGTTTACCCAAGAGGAGGATTCTGGGAGTCCACCACAACTTTAAGGAGATATGACTAATGATGCTGTTGGCTAGGTAGAAAGTGAGAGAAAGACAAGAGTTTAAGGATGCTAGAATTGATGGTAAGATTTACTGTAAAACATTTTAAATTTTTAAAAAGATTATTTATGTATTTACTTTTATTTCAAAGGCAGAGTGACAGAGCAAGAGAGGGAGAGAGAAAGGGAGAGGGAGAGAGAAAGTGCCCTTCTATCTGCTGGTTTACTACCCAAATGGCTGCAACCAAGGGGAGGGGTATGGGTGTAACAGGAGCTGGTTCTAGCCCAGACTAGAAGCCCAGGATTCCATTAAGGACAGGGGCCCAAGTACATGGGCCATCTTCAGCTGCTGTCCCAGGTGCATTGCAATATCAAGGAGCTGGATTGGAAGCAGAGCAGCTCAAACAAGCAGTCGGGACTCATAGGGGATGTCAACATCACAGGTGGCAGTTTACTGCTGGGTCACAACACTGGCCCCTGGACATTTTTGAAAAGTGCATATAAAATACATCTCCTAACGGCTGACCTTTGGCTGTTTCAGTAGTCTAACATTCATTACAAAGACTATGGCAATGTGAAGAACTGTAGTTCTGTTCATCTGAAGCTACCTCCATGGTCCTTTACTGAAGCAGAAATTAAAGAGTGCCAAGGCTGAAGTTTGGGACCAAGTTATTAAATCAGTGAGTCAATCACTAAGGACTTTGTTATTTTATTTTGTAACATTATCTATTTATTTATTTGAAAGCGCATCAAATGGCTACAGCGTTTCAGGAGGCTCAGGGGCGAGTGCCTTGGTAGCAAAGGTAAGATTGCTGGAGAAGGCTCGATCAGGTTTTGAGAGCTGGGCGAGCCAAGCTTAGAATTTCCTTTGTTCTTCCTGCCTCGCCTCTACCAGCAGCATCCTCATTTTGCTTCTTCTTGAATTAACACATACAACTTGGAAAAAGGAACAAAAAAGCTAGGGAAGCTGCCATCACCGGAGAGATATTAAAGCTGTCTCTGCACGGTTACACTGAGAGGCACAGTGACCGAAGACTGATACCACTGGCCCTGGCAATGACAGGCTGAGATCAAACCTCACGAGGCAATGCCTTTCCATAGCTCAGTCATGTGCAGCTTCAATTTTCACTTTCTATATTTAGAGTTAAGGCAATTTTTGGTGTTTTCCAGATCTTGGCAATTTCAGTACCTTACTCTCCTTAAATTGCATCCCGTTAGTGAAACGGAGAAAGTGGACTTGGCCTTCAGAGCAGTGTATTCAAATCAAATGATACTCTTTTTTCCCACTGTGGCTAGGCATTCTCAGTGGTCAAACCCACTCAGCTGTATCTTCCAATCAGCAATGTGTTTGAGTCCTGGCCCCGGGGAAATCATGTACACAAGACCACATGTCCCTACCCCTCAGGAGGGAGACCGCCAACATTCGAGAGGCACACACCGACTACACTCTGGGATCGGTGCCGTGAAGGCTGCTCCAGCAAGAGAAGAGTTAAGAGCTACAAACCGCTTTGAATGGGGAGGAGGTGGTGTGAGGGGGGCAGATTCAGGTGCAGACCCGAGGGAAGAGGAATCAGTTGCACTCACATCCAGTGTGTGTGCGCGCGCGCGTGTGTGTGTGTGTAAGGAGGGAGAGGTACGAAGGAAGGGCATTTCAGGCAGACCATAAAGTGCATCCTGGCGCGGCAGAGAGCGGGTGGAAGGGTTAGGGAACCTGCCAGCACAGCTGGCGCTGAAGCAGCAAGCGACACAAACTAAGGCTGTAAACGTGGGTAAGGACCAAGGACCACATCCCACAAGGCCTTGAAGGCCGTGGCAAGGAGCCTGGACCTGATCTCCATGCAACGGGAAGCCCTGGGCTCATCTCAGACCGGAGAACTGCGCGACCCGCTTGTCTCGTTAAAACATCATGCTTGTAAAACGAGATGCGCGAAAAGAGGTTTTAAACGTTAAGTCGGACGCAGTAACGAAGCCCTTCTCTAGGCCCCGGCTTTTCCCTACGTAAAGCAAGCGGCGTGCGCCAGAAATCATCTCCTTCCCGCTGCCATGTGCCCAGGCGGCGAGTCCCGAGGGCGCGGGCCGGAGCCGAGAGCCCCAGGCGGTCCCCGCATTGCCGCCGGAGCCCTGAAACCGCCGCTGGGCGCACTCATCAATGAATGGCCGGCCCCGGCCGCGAGGGAGGCGCTCGGCGCGCGGGAGCAGGCCCCGATGCCGACACGGAACGCGAGGAGCCGCGCGGGAGGCCGAGAGAGGCGTCCGGCGAGGACAGCGGAGGCCGGCTCCGCCACAAGCCAGGGCCTCGCGGGCTGCGGGCGGAAAGAGCCGGGCTCCGAGGCGGACCCGGTGTGCTAGGAGGGGAGGCCGAGCGCGGGGCTCCGAGAAGGGTTCCGGCTCCAGGCCGGGCGGCTCCAGGCACTCACCGCAGCCGTCGCCAGGCTGTGCATGTTGGGAGCGGCCGCCGCTCTCCTTCCTCCGCCAGACGCGCCTGACCCCCCGTCTCGGTTTCAACGCCTCTGCCGCTGAAGATGAGCCGCCATCCGCCTCCGGCTCGCTCCGCCCCCTCCGCAGCCCCTTGACCTCTTACCTCTGACCCCGCCCACACAACCTCTTCCCGCCTCCCGGCCCTCGGCCGAGTTAACAGTCCCAGAGTCTGTCCTTTGCCCCTTAAATTTCAGGACTAGAAGGTCGTCCGCGACCCACTAGTCCCCGCACCCCTCGGCATCGGGCAGGTATCTTCAGAGAGGGGAGTGAACTCTGACCCTCCTCCGGAGGCCAGTGAAGGGCGGGAAAAGCCGGGCGTCCCTCCAGAACAAGTATTGCGCATGCCCGACTGGGCTGAGAAGAAGGGAATGGTGGGAGAACGGAATGAAGCGAAGTGAAGGTGCGCGTGCGTAGTACGGTCACGGCAGGGGCGGGGCCATTGGCCTAGGCCGCGTTTGGTGCTGGGGCGGGGCGAAGGCGCGCAGGGGGCGGAGTTTGCGGGCTACCGCGCACGCGCCTGCCTCTGGTCGCGTCGAGTGTGCGTACGTGCGTGCGTGCGTGCGTGTTTGCGTGTGGTCATAGTTCCCGCCATCAGCCGCTCTCCCTGACCAGGGGGAGCGAGCGGCCTCGCTCTTTCGGGCCCGAGGTCCCTTCCGTCTTCCCTCCCGGCTCCCCCGCGCCGCGTGGACTCCGTACTCTTGGCAGGCCTGTCGGGGGCTCCGGACTCTCAGACACAGGTAGGACGCCGGAGTGGCTTCTCCGTGGAGTCGGTTTTTTGGAGCTCCCTTCCCCGTGCGGTCCGCCCACCCGGCGTTCACTCTTGCGGAGTTGGCCCGGCTGACGCTTGGGCCGCCGGAACCCCTGCAAGTCCCCCCGGCAGCACGGGCACTCCGCTTGGCTGTTCCCTGCCGGCTTCCCCTCTCCTTTGACCTGCAGCGCTGTCACTCGCTCCCTCCGCACCCCGAACCTGACCCCCTTTTTCTCTGGGACTGTCATCCTTCGCTGCTTGCCCCCCAAGGAGGCCAGCCGGCTCTTCTGGTGACTTCTTTGCGCTTGTCCGTCAAGCCGTGGGCATGACACTCGCTCTGATGACCATTCCTTACCCGCCTCCGCCTAACCCTTCATTAAAAGGCGTAAATCGCGTTTTTGGCGTGTATTTGGCTGCTTCCCCTCTGTGGCCATCCGATCAGCTTGTCGTTCATGAGAGGAAGCTGTAACTGGTGAGAGTGCTGTGTCCTGGATGGTTACCCTAGCGTGATTTCGCGATAATCCTTCCAACATTTCAGCCCCGGGTAAACGATTTTTACGGGGGTGGGGGGCGACTGGGAGGCGGTGGCCGTGCCCTAGGAGCCTGACCTGAAGAGACACCTAGGAGAGGATGACAAGGATGCAGCCGGGGGTGCTGAGCTGGAGGTCCGACGAGAGGGGTTCTGCACACACAGACTGTGTGTGTGTGTCATCTGCCGTGCTGACAGTAGTTGGAGCTCTGTGTGTGGATGAAGTTGCCTGAAGAGTTTAGTGCTAGGAAAAGTGACCTAGGATGGAGCTCTGAGGCATTCTGGATGTTTAATAACTGGAAAAGAGGAGGGTGAGTCTTGCGAGAGAGGGAAGATCCCTACCTAGTGTTGCATTAGGCAGAAAGGCTAAGTTGAAGGGCTGAAAAACCCAGCGACACAAGGTAACCGTGTATCTTAGTGAGAGATGATTGATGAAGTAAAATAAATATGCGGGCTCAGTCCTAGGTTTTTTCTTACTTTTCCATTCCTCCCTGAGCTTTAAATTCCACCTATGTATTGATGACTTAAGACTTTTTTAATTCCAGTCTCTTCTGTTTTCAGCCCCATATCTAAATATTCAGCTGTCTGACATCTAAACTTGGCTGTTTTCTTAGGAAATTTAAATATAACTTGTCTCAAGGCAGAGTCTTGATCGTTATCCCCAGACCCAAATTCTTAGTTTTCCATTTCATTCAGTGGCATGTGCATTTATCTACTTGCACAAGGTAGAACATCGAGAGGCATTCTTGACTTCTTCCTTGGCTCATACATCGTACACTCTTAAAGTCCTAGTCTACTTCTAAGATACCTATTTCTTTACATCTTCACAATCGCTATCACTTTTCTTGTTCAAGCCACAGTCCTTTTTCACGTGGTGCCTGACTCTCAGTATTCTCACCTGTTATGTGGGAGTGTAACAGGAATCCTCACCTTACTGGACTGTTATGAAGATTAAATGAAATAACCCTGATAAACACATGGCATGTAGTAAATCGCCAGTAAGCAACAATTGTTTCTGTAGTTATTATAAGTCATTATAATGTCAATACATTCCTTTTTTAGTTGCCCTGTTTTCTTCCATTCTTGCTCCTTTATGTTCCCCAAACCCAAACACATCACATCTCTTCTCCACTCGGGAGTAACAGCATTTCTTCGCTTGAGACTCGGAAGTGGATTTTCCGATGCTTGCTTAGTGAATTTTGGATAGCAGTCCGAGTCCTCCCTGTGCTCCACGGGACTGCATCCTCTGATTCCTGCTTGTTTACCAGCTTCGTCTTGCACCCTCCTCCCTCCCCTCACTAAACCCTAGCCATGCTGCTGTTAATCTCCCTCATCACACCAGCTTGTTTCCCAGTTCAGGGCCTTTGCACATGGTGCCCCGATTCCCTGGCCTGTCCCAGCACCACCGTCCTGCTCTTCAACTTTTGCTTAAGTGAAGCTTTTTCCCGATGTTCTATTCCCCTCCCATTGTGTCTTCTAGTAATTCCAGCTTACTGATATTCTTGTCATCCCATTACAGACACTTTTCACTGTGCAGAAAAATTAAAGCACACAGAAGAGAAAAACAAAGGGTTTTCCAGCTTTGGATACTGTTAGCATTCTCATAAAATTATTCAGCTTTTAAACTCTTGAATTGGAAATAAACTTTATCTGAATCAACTTCCTTCTCTGCTTTCAGCTATAACACTAAAATGTTTTTACTTTTTAATTTGTTCCATATCACTAATTTTATCTCCCTTGTACATTTGTTTTAGGGATTTTTTTTTTTTAAGAAAAAAAAGTCCTTGAAAATCAGTGTAGTGGTTTGTCTAGTTTAACAACAGATTAAGCTTTGAGACCGGTGAAGATAAATAGATAATGCAGAATTCCGTATTTACGTTGGTTGGATTATGAAGGCGATATTAAAATTTAATGCTTTGTGTTTTATATTTGGGTTGAAAAATAGGGAATAAGAAATAGGAAGCATGCATTTGGGCTTATTTTCTAGGTAGTGATGAGCTATTAAAAAATGGAAGGCAGTTAGCATTAGTAGAAAGTATTTAGCACTTTCTAAATGATTTTATTTTGTTGGAGTATACAAGTTCTGTGTCTGTGAATTATGCTTCCCTCCCCTGTTTAGGGTGGGGAGAGACAACAAGTGAGTACTTCAGTTGGTAGGAATTAAGGAGAGTAGGTCTTTGGAAAGGATACGGTAATGTAAATAATTTGTTGGTGGGAAAATCAAGAGGTCAGAGAATAGAAAGTGATGGCCACAGTTCATTGATGAGGGTGAACTATGGGAGTAGTTAAAACTGTGGGCTCTTGTATTTGGCATAGCTTTGTCTTTGACTGATACTGTTTACATAAATTAATGTCTCTAGGCTTGAATTTCCTCATCCGTAAAATAGAGATAACAATAATCCATATCCCTTAGGGTTATTGTGAAAATTAAATGAAATAATGCATTTATGGCATTTAGCACTGTGCATAGTAAATATTACATAATAAATATTAGACGGGGTGATGGCAAAGTGATGAAAAGACTGGATTTTGGATGGATTGAATATTAGGTTAATATTGGTGCTAAGAGTCCTTACTTGAATCATGGGGGAGGAACAAAAGCAGGGAAGTCCAGGACCTTCTTAGTGAAGGCGAAGACTATTGTCTTCATCTGTCCATCTCTCTCTCTTTTTTTTTTTTTTTTTTTTTGACAGGCAGAGTTAGAGAGAGAGACAGAGAGAAAGGTCTTCCTTTGTCCATTGGTTCACCCCCTAAGTGGCCGCTACAGCTGGCGCATTGCGGCCAGCGTGCTGTGCCAATCCGAAGCCAGGAGCCAGGTGCTTCCTCCTGGTCTCCATGCAGGTGTAGGGCCCAAGGACCTGGGCCATCCTCCACTGCCTTCCCAGGCCACTGCAGAGAGCTGGACAGGAAGAGAAGCAACTGGGACAGAATCCATCTCTACCTTAGTGTCTTCAGAGTTTCAAAAGAAAAGTCAAAGCACCAGATTTCCCTGCCTTTTGAAATTTGTATCAGCATGTCCTGGAAGTGCTGTTTTAAGACTTAAGGTGTCATTCTGTAACAATGTTTATAAAGCCAACAAAGGAAATACTCTTTTGCATTGACTTGTTTCAAAATGTAGCAGGAATAAATTAGACATGGGTTGATCAAGGTGCAAGCTCCTGTAGTCCTTCATTTTACACAGCAAAAATATTCCTAAAGTTCTGTTGATCCTGTGTGTGGGGGTACATATGTGTTGCTTATCATTTTCTAAATATTTTTGATAAGTGATTTGTGGTTTTTAAATGATTAAGGGGTTGATTATCATACAAATGCTCACTTTTTTTTCAGTTTTAATTTCATGTACTGGATTATTTTAAAAAGGCACACTTGTATTTTCTTTAGCTGAGCTGATGGCTCCTGGAGAACTGGCCTAGCTGCAGAATATGAGTAGTTTCCCAAGAAGAGTGCATTGCCTTTGGCACAAGGATCAGAATAAAGGTGAATTGTTATTACATAGGGTTTTTCAGTAAAAGTCACTGAAAAGTAAGTAATGTTTTTGTTTTGGATGTGTTTCCAAAAGTATGAAAATTGGAAAAAATTGACAGTTTTCTGTGTTTATTTTGTAGTAGCAGTTTTATCCTTTATCATGCTTTCTCAACCTCAAAATGCCCTCTGGATAAGGATGTTTTTAAACTGGTACATAAAATGTGAGCATTTAAGTAAATATATGGGGTAAGGATGCATTTTGCCTGTATTATTGATTGAATTTTCATGGGATGCTCACAGAATTTTTAGTAAGTATGAAGGTTTAGGAAACGGGGAATCATTTCATTTTAATTATTCTTTGTCTTCCTCTTGGTGCTTTGATAAGAGAATTAGCATGATCATGTTTAAGAAAACATTCCTTGTCTTGGGTCCATAGAAAGCTTAACTGTTACTGGATCATGCTTCATGCTGAAAAAGAAACTTTTTTTCCCCTTTACTAAGTAGGGCAAGCCCTGATGATATTATGAACATACAATAGTAACACTTAATTTAGTACAAAATCAGCGAAAGGACTCTATTGAGGCACAAAGAGAAATTTTTTTATATTGTTTCTGCTAGTTTTGTGTGCCGAATCCTTTAGGTTTTTTTCCTTAGAGGAAAGAGATTGCTAGTAGAAATGGTTAAGAAAATGTTCAATATCAGAAGTAAAATTTTATATTAACCAAAACTCTGCATCAGAATGTTTGAGAGGCATGGAGATTTAGAAGAAAACTGAAGTAACCAGTATTATTTTAAATCTCTCATATACTTCAATGAACTTTGAAATCTTCATCTCTAAGTTTTATTAAATAAACTGTTTTAAAATTATGTACTTCTGTTGGAGGAATTTAAGATTACTGATTTTCATGTATGCACATAAAGTAGACACTAAGATAACGGGGATTGGTATTCCCATTTTCTGGCACCTTGACCAATAATGACATACAAGGAAAAATGAGGGGAATTTGATGATATCTGACTCTTAATAGGGAGTTTCTTTATTGAGCAATAGCAACATGAATCTCAGTTTGGGCAGGTTTATTAAGTTTTAAATAATGTATTCTGTAACTTATTCTTAAGTGATCCCCCCCCTCCATTGAATTCTTAACAGCGTATGAGGGCAGCTTTGCATTTAGTGGAGAAGTTCAGATGCACATAGGAAAAACTGTGATGTCTTCAAAAAATGAGTTATGTAGTTCAGTGCAGAAACGATGCTCTTGTAAAGGACTTGGTAATTATAACCTCATGTTTACCACATAGAGGGTGTTTTTGATTACAGTATCAACTGTTATATATTTTAGTAGCAAACTGAATAGAATTGATAGTGCTGATTTGTTCATTATTCTTGAATAATGAGTTTCTGTTACTTGGGTGTCAGACACTGTCCTTGTGAGGAATGCAGAGGTTAAGAAAATATTCTCTGTCTTCAGATAGCAAAGTGTGGAGAGACAGAGGTAAACAACTTATAATACAATGTACTAAATACTGGAGGTAACAGCACAGGGAACAATGCAAGGACAGAAGAGGGTTTAACATTCTCAGTATCAGTATGGGAGAGAACAAGTGAAAGAAGTTAGAAAAGATTTCTTAGAGAGGATAACTTCTAAATTGACCTTGATTTTAGAGCTGGGAGAAGAAATTAGAGAGGGTTGCAGATGGGGAAGTTCACAGAAATCCTCTACACATAACCACAGTGTGTGGAGAGGTATAGTGAGAACTCATGGGTCTTGGGAGAAATTAGAAGTAAAGTGACTAGATCTGGGGATCTTGGGAGTACAGAGGTAAGCAGGACCAGGGTCATGAAGGGCCTTGGTGTCATTTTTGAATTTAGGTTTTATGGTTAGGAGCCATTGGATGACATTAAGGAGAACAGTGATGTGAGTTGATCTGCAGTTCATTATAAAGCTGTCTGGAAGGTATATGGAAATAGAACTGACAAGACTTTCCTCTGACCTTCCATTCTCCAGTCTAATACCAATAATCAAGAAAGAAGTTAAAGGCAGCTCCCATGTTTCTGGCAAGAGAAACTGGGGTAGGAGAAGAACTTTGTAGTCCTTGTAGTGTTGAAAGGCAGACTGGAAAAAGATCTCAAGGACATATCTAAACAGTGAAGCCACAAATTATGAATTGTGAAAAAAAAAATACAGATTCACATTGTTAGCCCAGATTTCTGTAGAGTTATTAGATAGAGCAAAATGCCATGTTAACAGACTGGTCTATAAACTGTAATGCCTTTATAATTTTTTTGATATATTTATATACCAAAAATTATACTAATACATAAATCTGGTCAGAGTAGGCACTCAAACAAATTTCGACGAGTAAATAATAGATGACTTATGCTGCATTACACTCTAGAACTCCTCAGTGTATTTTCATAACTTTTATTGTGTCCTCTGCCATTTTTTTTTTTTAAGATTTATTTATTTGAAAGGTAGTGTTATAGAGAGGCAGAGGCAAAGAGAGAAGTCTTCCATCAGCTGGTTCCCTCCCCAAATGGTTGCAACAGCCGGAGCTGAGCTGATCTAAAGACAGGAGCTTCTTCCAGGTCACCCACATGGGTGCAGGGGCCCAAGCACTTGGGCCATCTATTACTGCTTTCCCACACCATAGCAGAGAGCTGGATCAGAGTGGAGCAGCTAGGACTCAAACTGGTACCCGATGCCAGTGCTGCAGGCAGGGGCTTAGCCCGCCACACCACAGTGCTGGCCCTGTCCTCTGTCATTTTACATATAGTAACTAGAGGCCTTGAACAGGAGGCCTCAGGCTGTATCCTACCTGCAGCTGAGTTTTGTTTGATTTGTAGCTTTTCAATCTAAATTTAAATTCATTGCCCACAATAAAAAGTGGACCATTTTACATACTTTGTCTTTTTTTTTTTTTTTTGAAAAATTAGAAAATCTGGTAGTACTAGGTTCACTTTTTTTTTTTTTAAGAATTATTTTATTTATTTGAAAGAGTTACAAAGAGAGATACAGCCAGAGAGAGAGAGAGAGAGAGGTCTTCCATTTCACTGGTTCGCTCCCCAATTGGCTGCAACGGCCAGAACTGTTCTGATCCAAAGCCAGGAGCCAGGAAGTTCTTCTGGGTCTCCCATGCAGGTACAGGGGCCCAAGGACTTGGGCCATCTTCTGCTGCTTTCCCAGGCCATAGCAGGGAGCTGGATCGAAAGAGGAGTAGCTGGGACTTGAACTGGTGCCCATGTAGGATGCTGGCACTGCAGGCTGGCGCTTTAACCCACTGCACCACAGCACCGGTCCTAGGTTCACTATTTCTACGTGAGACTAATTGTCTCAATTGAGTGACAGTCATCATGTTTTGCCTGCCTAAGTCATTTTTGTTATCTGCCTGGCCCTACAGGCAGTTGAGTTGATAATCCCTGTTTAACATTCATTAAGGTCTGGGGGCTGGCATTATGGTATAGCAGGGTCAGCTGCTGCTGAATGCCCAATTTGGTCATGTCCTGGCTGCTTCACTTCTGATCCAGCTCCCTGCTGATGTGCCTGGGAAAGCAGCAGAAGATGGTTCAAGTGCGTGGGCCCCTGGCACCCATGTGGGAGATCCAAATGAAGTTCCAGGCTTCTGGCTCTGTCCTGGCCCAGCCCTAGCTGTTGAGGCCGTTTGGGGAGTGAACTAGTAGATAGATGATCTCTCTCTTTCTGTCTTTCCTTCTCTCTGTAACTCTGCTTTTCAAATAAATAAATCTTTAAAAAAATTATTGAAGTGTTTGGAGGAAGATAGTACAGACAAGGGGTAAAATTTAGAAAATGAATACTAATCCATTAATATTAATACTGCCCTCTGCTAAGTGCCTCATGTGTTACCTCATTTCATTCTGCAATGCAACAGTATTTGCCACTTATTCTATGGCTGAGAAAACTAGTAACTAGAGAATATAAGTTACAAACTAGTGACAGCTGCCTCCTAATTTCTAGACCAAGAATTTTTTTCTTTAGTATACCAACTTTCCTTGGCTAGATACTTGAGCTGTTTAGGTGGTTGCAATGTTTAATGGTTTTTAAATATTAAATTATAAGCCAGAATCCATTTTAGAGGTCTGAAAGTGACATAAATAAAATTTGGTTTAGCAATTTTACATAACTACATGCATATGTATATGACACAGTATTTGGTAACATTCTCTGCTATAATTTTATTGACTTGCTGACTTTTGGTAAAGCAAGTTTGAAAAGTCTTAGATATTTCATTATTGCTCTAGGTTATTTTTAAGTGTTAAAAGTCAGGGAGCCAGCATTGTGTAGCAGGTAAAGCTGCAGCCTGTGACGCTGCGATACCATGTAGGTGCTGGTTTGTGTCCTTGCTGCTCCACTTTTGATCCAGCTTCCTGCTAATGGCCTGAGGAAAACAGCGGAATGTTACCCAAGTGTTTGGGCCAATGCCACCCACCTGGGAGACCCAGGTGAAACTCCTGGCTCCTGGCATAAACCTGACCATGTGGCCATGTGGGGAGTGAACCAGTGGATGGAGGATCTCTGTTTCTCCCTCTCTTTGGCTCTCTGTAACTCTGCCTCCGCCCCAACCCAAAAGAAAAGTTTGGTCAGATAGCCTGAGTATTTTCAAAGATAAAATTGGTAAAAATTCTTTCTAGGAATGGTAATGTTAAAATAAATGATAGGTGGTTAAACGATTTTTCTCAATGTAATCTTGAAGGGTGAGTCAACTTCATTATTTGAAAAATTTTATTCATTTAACATCTTCTTTGCCTGTTGCTATGCTTACACTGCTGACTATTAGAATACTTTGGTATGCTTTGCTCTTGGGCAGGAATGCCATTTTAATTTTTTTTTTTTTTTTTAATTTTTTTGACAGGCAGAGTGGACAGTGAGAGAGAGAGAGAAAGGTCTTCCATTGCCGTTGGTTCACCTTCCAATGGCCGCCGCGGCTGGCGCGCTGCGGCCGGCGCGCCGCGCTGATCCGAAGCCAGGAGCCAGGAGCTTCTCCTGGTCTCCTATGCGGGTGCAGGGCCCAAGAACTTGGGCCATCCTCTGCTGCACTCCCAGGCCACAGCAGAGAGCTGGCCTGGAAGAGGGGCAGCCGGGACAGAATCCGACGCCCTGACCAGGACTAGAACCCAGTGTGCGGGCGCCGCAAGGTGGAGGATTAGCCTAGTGAGCTGTGGCGCCGGCTGTGGAATGCCATTTTAAGAAGTGGAGTCAGTAATAAAAATTTTTTTTACTCAAGATTCACAACCCATTATTCATGAGAGAAGAAAAGAATCAATGCTTTAATGGTAAAGGAATCACAGTGAGAATGGAATCTTTCTTATTCCTAATTGATATGTCTTTATTGACAGCAATTTAGTTGAGAATGGTGCAAAAATGTAGAATTTTGATGTTACTGACACAGTTACTGGACACACGGCAAAGAAGGGAACTTGTGCAGAGTGAAATCAAAGGTGGTTAGATGTAGTCCTTGAATGCCAGTGCCTCCTTGGGTTGTCTTTCTTGCCTGTGCTGTGCAGCTAAGCAGGATGCCTTATAAGAGTGGTTATTCAAATGGAGAAAGGGATATAAGTTGATTCATTAAACATTCTTTTTCAAACTCGTATTTTAATCACTAGTAAATTGTAACTTTTTCTTTATTTTTTTCCCTTAGAACCTATCAGGTGAAGGTGTATTTTTGCTTTTTAATTTGGCTAGAAGCAATTTATTTTTAAAGAAAGTATGTCTCCTCTGAAGATACATGGTCCTATCAGAATTCGAAGTATGCAGACTGGGATTACAAAGTGGAAAGAAGGATCCTTTGAAATTGTGGAAAAAGAGAATAAAGTCAGTCTAATAGTTCACTACAATACTGGAGGAATCCCAAGGACATTTCAGGTATTACCAAATAGAATTTTTTAGTAAATAGCTATTCTATGTTGTTACACGCATCATAGTAGCCCTTCTAGGTTAATGTTTCTTGCTGCTTATTTCCAGAACACTAGTACTTTTCTGTACATGTTTTATAAATTATTCACTAGCATTGTTGACAACGTATGATAAAGAAGGGGACATAGCCCCTTTTGTTGAAAAGAAAACTAGGGGCAGGGTAGGATTTGGATATTATTTACTGTGGCTATTTTAAAAACCATATTAGAATAACTTTATTATTTCCTTTTCTTAGTATTTATAGTGAATTCATCACTATTTAGTATTAGCTTTTAACAGAATTTATTAATATCTTCTAAAGGCCAGTGTCTGCCTCTTGGGTAATCCTACCAAAGGTTGTGGCATGGAACATTCAAGGAGGATTGTTTAAGGTCATCTTTACAGCTGTGTCTTCTGACTGTAAACTTTTGAAGGATTCTCATTTTATCACTGCAAAAAATAATTTTGTTTTTGCTTCTGACCTGCTTCTGCTTTCTTTCTTTTTTTTTTTTTTTTTAAGATTTATTTTATTTATTTAAAAGAGTTACAGAGAGAGAGAGAGAGAGAGAGTCTTTTGTCTGCCGAGTCACTCCCCAGATGGCTACAACAGCCAGAGCTGAGCTGATCCACAGCCAGGAGACAGGAGCCTCGAGCCTCCTCCAGGTCTCCCACATGGGTGCGGGGGCCCAAGCACTTGAGCCACCTTCCATTGCCTTCCTAGCCACAACAATAGGGAGCTGGATTGGAAGTGGAGCAGCCCAGACTCCAACCGGCACCCATATGGGATGCCGGCGCCCCAGGCTGGGACTTTAACCTGCTGCTCCACAGTGCCAGCCCCTGGACTGGTTCTCTTGTATAGTCAAGAGTTGCTTATCTTGAAGTGAACTGAAGAACATAACTTCTTTTCTGTACTTAAAATTCTCTTTTTTAGGTAGGTTATATACAAATACAGTATTTGTTCTAAATAAAAATATTTTATTGAAGAACAATGTACAACTTTATGTTTGGAGCCTGATCTAAGATAAAATTTCCATTTGTCTCTGTATTTGAACTTTGAAAATAAATTTCTTATGATTTTATGTATCAAAGATAGTCTTCAATAAATTGAAAGTGGTGACAAGTAATAAAAGCTATAGTAGGTTGTCAAGAACATATTTACTAATTGCTCATCTCAATAAAAGAAAGGATTTTCAAATAGAGACTTGCTTTTTTCAGTTCTCAGTCCAAGTAGGGACTGAGTGAATATTCAGATATTAAGCTAATGTAGATCAGTTCTATGTCCATTTACATTTGACATTAATTTGTTAACCATCTATAGGCTGCTGTTGTGGATACTGTGCTAAGGGCTAAGGATACAGAGTTGAATGAGATACCACTTCCTCAAACTTATTCAAATACATTTTCAGCTGAGGTGACACAACGAAGCAAGTCGTTTGTGCTCTGAGGATTTAAAGAATAAATAAGAGTTGCCATTCATAGTGGAGGAAAGGAGGAAGTGATTTCTGTGCATGAAAAAATACTTGATGTGTGAATGAACCCTCAGGGAATCAAAGTTATTTTAAAATAAGTGGGCAGTGGAGAGTGAGTGGCAAGAGTAGAGGCTGAAAAACTAGGTTGGAACCAAATCTTGATGTTTCTTCTTTGGCATAAGAGGAGCTCAGGTTCTAAGGAGCAAAAATCTCAAATTCAGATTCCTATAGGGGCTAGGCAGATGACTTTAGTTCAAGAAATAGTGAGAGCATAAGGTTAGTTTAGGAGTTTAGATGACGGATGAAAGTTCTGAATAAAGGAAGAAGAAGAAGGAAGAAAGGAAAGAGATGAAAAGATTTCAAGAAGACTTCACCCATTAGATTTGAGAGGTGAGAGTGCAAAGAATTGAGGGAGCCTGTTGCTGTGGTGTAGTAGGTAAAGCCACCAGCTGAGTGCTGACATCCTATGTGGGCGCTGGTTGAAGTCCTGGCTGCTCTACTTCCAATCCAGCTCTCTCCTAAGGCCTGGGAAAGCAGTTGAAAATGGCCCAAGTGCTTGGGCCCCTGCACCCACATGGGAGACCCAGAAGAAGCTCCTGGCTCCTGGCTTCGGATCAGAGCAGCTCTGGCCGATGGAGCCAATTGGGGAGTGAACCAGCAGATGGAAGACCTCTCTCTCTCTCTGCCTCTCCTTCTCTCTGTGTGTAACTCTTTCAAATAAATAAATAAGTCTTTTTAAAAAAATTGAGAAAGAGTCCTACATTTCTGAATGCATGGCATTCATTTTCTCTGATATAGGAAATAGAGGAAAAGAAGTGGGGTGTGGGGACATGAAGAGCTGAGTTGTCTGAGACACCAGACATTCAGAAGGTGAGTAGGGCTGGAGCTTCAACAGAGAGGTCTGGACTTCAGATAAAGAGGGACTGGTGCTGTGGTGTAGTGGGTAAAGCCGTCAGCTGCAGTGCTGACCTCCATGTGCAGTGATGGCTGCTCCACTTCCGATCCAGCTCTGCTATGGCCTAAGAAAGCAGTAGAGGATGGCCAAGGTCCTTGGGCCCCTGCACCCACATGGGAAACCTGGAAGAAGCTCCAGGCTCCTGGCTTCGGATCACCCATTTGGGGAGTGAACTAGCAGATGGAAGACTCCTTCTTTCTGTGCCTCTGCCTCTCTGTAACTCTGTCTTTCAAATAAGTAAATAAATCTTTAAAAGAAGGAGAGAAAGAATTGGGAGTCCTTACTGTATGGATAATCACTAAATCATGGTGCTAGAAGGGATTCTCAGTTGTAAAGTGACCAAGTTCAAGATTATTCTTATCTTGTTTGTTAATGTACAGGCTTTCCTTTAATATTTAATTTTTAAAAAGTGGTAAATAATGCCAGTATGTTATCCAGTCTTTGTATTTTACTAGAGATTTTCTACTCAAAGTCAGAAATTTAAAAGCTACTTTGATGCTAAAAAAATGTCATTTACAATTTGGATATGAATTAACCGGTAAAGTTGTTTTTCATTTCTATCTAAAATGGACAAAGATTTATTCTCCCTAATCTTAGGGAAATATATGACTATGTTATTACTTCATTATGCTACTTAGAGGCTATGTCTTCAGCAAAAGGCAGTTTTAGAAAGCTGAGTGTATGTCTTAAAAGGGAAGGTAATAGAGAACAAGGCTGCCAGACTTCCAGGACTTGGATAATAAGGAAACTGTATGATTTTAGTTTAGTCTTGGAAAAGTTTCATTCAAGAGAAGATGAAAATTACGGTTTCTTAGCACATTCCTGAAGACTTGGAGAGACTAAGATGAATTATTTAGTTCTGGGGAGAGGTATCATTAAGTTAAGAGATTCCTGATGTACTCATGGTCTTTGTAATTTAATGAAAGCTAAATGAGTCTGCTTAGTTGAAAAAGGAAGATGTATTCTTATATTGTAAAAGTCTATTTTTGAATTATTTTTGAGAGTTTAGAATTCTTTTAGTACTGTAGCTTGGATTAATATATTCTTTTCCCTTGCAGCCACCCAAACATTTTGTCAGTGTCTAAGCAGATTTTGTTTTAAAAAGAAAAGAAACAAAAAGAGTGTACAGCCAACCAGGCTCTGAAAATTGTTAACCCACCAGTTTTTATCTTTTGTAACTTTATAACTATATCTGAAAATATGGAATTTTCTACCATAAGATAAAGAATGCTAGGATTACTCTAAGGTGAATTTTAATAGTATGTGTTTGTATCTCTTTAACAGTCAAATCTTTGATCTAAATGTATCAAGAAATAAGAGCTCTTTCAGTTGAAAAATATGGGAAATAAGATATGTAACTTAGGAAGTATAAACTTTAGTATTCATTATGTAACTTATTATACCTTTTTACATGTTTTTAATAAGATAATTTTCTTTTTGTCTTGACCAGCTAAGTCATAACATTAAAAATGTGGTGCTTCGACCCAGTGGAGCAAAACAAAGTCGCCTAATGTTAACTCTACAAGATAACAGCTTCTTGTCTATTGACAAAGTACCAAGTAAGGATGCAGAAGAAATGAGGTTGTTTCTAGATGCAGTTCATCAAAACAGACTTCATGCAGGTGAGCACTGACCATCCAAGGAACTGACATTAGCAATTTCTTTTTAAAGATTTATTTTATTTATTTGAAAGGCAGAGTTTCAGAGAGAGAGGGAGAGACAGATCTTCCATCTGCTGGTCTACCCCCTAAATGAATGCAATGGACAGGGCTGGGCCAGACCAAAACAGGAGATTGGAATGCCATTTGGATTTCCCATGTCTTCTGCTACTTTCTCAAGGGGCTGGATGCAGAATCAGAAGTAGAGCAGTCAGGGGCCGATGCTGTGGCGCAGCAGGTTAAGGCCCTGGCCTCAAGTGCCGGCATCCTATATAGGCGCCGGCTCTTGTCGCAGCTGTTCCTCTTCAGATCCAGCTCTCTGCTATGGTCTGGGAAAGCAGTACAAGATGGCCCAGGTCCTTGGGCCCTTGCACCCATGTGGGAGACCTGGAAGAAACTCCTGGCTCCTGGCTTCAGATCGGCACAGCTCCTGCCATTGTGGCCATCTGGGGAGTAGACCAGAAGGGGAGTAGACCTGAGGTAGACTGTCTCTACCTCTCTCTAACTCTTGTCTTGAAAGAAAGAAAGAGAGAGAGACAGAGAGACAGAGAGACAGGGACGGAGAGAGGGAGAAAAGTAAAGAAGAGCAGTTGGGATTCAAACTGTAGCTCATAATGTATGCTGGTGACCAGGTTGTGGCTTAACCCACTATGTCAGAGTGCTGACACCTGACATTAGCAGTTTTCACAGGCTATGACTAAAGATAGAAGTTTGGCCTAGCAGTTAAGATACCTGCATACCTTACTGGAGTACCTGGGTTCAATACCCTGCTTTGACTCCTGACTCCCAACTTCCTGCTAATGCACTCCCTGATAGGCAGTGCTGATGGCTCAGGTAATTGGGTTCCTGCCACCTTCGTGGGAGACCTGGATTGAGTTCCTGACTCCCAGCTTTGGTCTGGCCCAGCCCTGGACATTGCAGGTGTTTGAAGAGTGAATCAGTGGATTGGAACACTCTCTCATGTTCTACGTCCCTCTGTCTCTGACTCTCAGATAATTTAAAAAAGATGGGAGGGGGGGAGGCACTGTGGGAGGTCCAGAACACACTCCTGGCTTTGGATCAGCCCAGCTCTAGCCATTATGGCCATTTGGGGAATGGGCCAGCGGATAGAAGATCTCTGTGTCTCCCTCTCTCTAACTCTTTCAAATAAATAAATAAATTTTTTAAACAAACCAAAAAAACCCTAAGGTGATTTAAACTTCATTTTAGGAATGAAGAAACTGAAATTCACAGTCATTAAGTGACTTGCCCCAAACCACAAAGGAAATAATAACAGCAAAGCTAAGGTTTGAACCCAAAGCTGTTTAAGAGCAAAGCCTAGATTTTTCCATTATGCCATATTGTTCACACTTGGGTCCCCCGTCTACTGTGCTTTCCACTTATTGTATTTCCAGGCATGTAGATAAATTTATGTACATGTATTTACAGAACCAGTGCCTACATAGGATGCCAGTCCTGCAGCCAGTGGCTTTACCCGCTGAACCATGGCATTGGCCCCCATTCATGTTTTCTCGGCATCTAGTATCATTGTTCATGCTGTAGATAATTATCAGATATTTATAGAGGAGAATTTGTCTCATTTTCATTTTTCTTTGTAGGTCTTATCCAATTTCATGTTCTCACCGGATATTTGTCAATTTTTTGCTTGAGATTCTTTCTCTGAATTTTAAACACTGTGTACATCCGTTGCATATTTTATCAGAAAGGATTGATAAGCACTTTGATTTGTTTTATCTTTTTCCTGCTGTTTCTTCCATTTCTTCATTATTACATAAAGATGATAGACAGTTTTATTAGAATAAGTGATTTGGGTGTTTTTGTTTTTTTTTACCAGCCATTAAACCTTCTCAGGGATCTGGTAGTTTTGGAGCCATTCTCGGCAGCAGGGCCTCACCGAAGGAGACCAGCAGACAGCTTTCTTACTCAGACAACCAGGTATGTTCATTTGAAGTTTTTTAGATTTTTAAAAAAATAATAATCAGAGGCATTCTAAAAAGGTAAGTGCAGGAAGTAGAATTTATATGGTAATGCCTAATATTTCTGATATTGTCACAAGGGTATTTTCCACCTATTTGAAATTTATCATGTTAGCCATCTCAGTCTCTTCAATAATATTTTATGAAAGTTTTTGTAAAATTAATCCCATTCTTCCTTCTTAGATAGTTTATTTTACCCTATGCTTAATGTGTCATGTTCATCGTTCTGAACCACAGCAGGAGTTTATATAGCATGACTTTGGTGTTAGATGTAGATTTGAGGTTTCTTGCTGCTACTTACTAGCTGTGGGTCACTGACAAAGTTCCTTATTTTCTATCACTGTAATTTGGTTGCACTTCATAGTTTCATGTAAGCGGAATCAGTGTGTAATTTTTTTTATTTATTTTAGTCAATGAATAGATTCGTATATTCATAGGAAAGAATTTAAATTGTTGGAATAGTGTAGGGGTATTTGAGAAAGTTCATGGAAAATGTGTATTATGAGAAAACAGCATGAATTTAAAAATCATTTGCACTAAAATAAACTTAATCTTTTAATTGTATTTTCCATGGCTTTTTGAAGTGCCTTTGTGTTTAAATGCATTTATTAACATATGTATACCAAAAATGAGTATTTATACTTCCACAGCTAATAATTCCCATTGGTAGAATTACAAAATCAATTATGTGGGTCATGATTAACATTAAAAAAGAGGTGGAGGGGCCAACATTGTGGCTTAGCAAGCCACCGCCAGTGCTGTTGGCATCCTATATATGCACTGGTTTGAGTCTCTGCTGCTCCACTTCCAATCCAGCTCCCTGCTAATGACCTGGGAAAAGCAATGGAAGATGGCGCAAGTCCTTGAGTCCTTGGGAAACCTGGATGAAGCTCCTGGCTTTGGCCTGGCCCAGTCCTGGCTGTTGCAACCATCTGGGGAGTGAACCACCAGATGGAAGAACTGTCTCTCTCTGTGTTTCCCTCTGTCTTTGTAGCTCTGACTTTCAAATAAATAGTCTTTTAAAAAGAAAAAGTGGAAGGTAATAGAGCATGTTGTATGAAAAAAAATTGATTTCTAAAATTTATTTTTGTTTTATTTATATGTATGTATAATAGATTTTGATGTAAAATATTTCTTACTGTGAGGTCATGATCAAGATTTTGAAAAATGTATAAAATAGTGTATTATAGTATGCGATCATATAATAAAAGTAGGAAAACAGTGATTTGTATTTGCAAAAAAATAGGGAAAGACTTCTCATGAGGGATAGGAGAATGGAAACTGAAATAAATGAGTGAATGATGTAGAGGTAATTGTGATATGTCATTGTCTGTAGCTTTTAATATTAACTGGATTTGTAAACTTTGAGAAAATGTCACTCATTTGAAAATAAATGTATAACCTTTAAAGCATTCGTCTAGATGACTTTGGAAACCTTCAGTTTCCTGAGATTGCAATGCTGTGAAAAGGAAATCATTGGACGTCTTCCACAGAGAAATCGTGTGGCTCTTCATGTAGAGACATAGAGCTTAACCAGCAGAGTGTTCATGTGACGCACTGTCCTTGCTAGTGTTTACATTGCTGGATGCTCTTGCTGTGTCAAAAGGGTAGAATCTCTGACTCATGTTCTGTCGGTAGACTTTCCATCTCAGTTTGCTTCTCCCCATGATACTGTATTTCAAAAATTTCTTGGAAAATGGAATAAATTAGAAGTTTATTTCAATGCTAAGAAGTTCTTTAAATTCATGTAGTTTTTTTATAATACATATTTTCCACAAGGGTTCTAAGAGTGCTTTTATTTATTTCATTCCTCCAAACTAGAACTGCCTCAAGAGTCATAGGCTGTTAAGTACGCCTAATTTGGTATGTAGGTTACAGCAACCAAAGTGTCGTTGTTGCATGTTAATTTATCATAATCATCACTGGATATTTTTCTTTTTTTAAAAAAGATTTATTTATTTATTTATTTCAAAGAATTACAGATGGGGAGAGGCAGAGAGAGAGGGGGGTCTTCTAACTATATATATTAGAATCACCTGGACTGCTTTCAAAAACAATTATTTATGAAATGAATAAGCCTCACCTCAAACTGATGATGCTAGAATATCTAAAGATGTACCTCTAGTTATATATTTTTTTAAAAATTTATTTTATTTTATTTATTTGAAAGACAAAGTTACAGAAAGAGGTAGAGATAGAGAGAGGTCTTCCATCTGCTGGTTCACTCCCCAGATGGCCGCAACAGCTGGATCTGCGCCGACCGGAAGCCAGGAGCTTCTTCCGGGTCTCCCATGTGGGTTCAGGGGCCCAAGGACTTGGGCCATCTTCTATGGCTTTCCCAAGCCATAGCAGAGAGCTGGATCAGAAGACAAGCAGCCGGCGCCGCGGCTCACTAGGCTAATCCTCCGCCTAGCGGCGCCGGCACACCGGGTTCTAGTCCCGGTCGGGGCGCCGGATTCTGTCCCGGTTGCCCCTCTTCCAGGCCAGCTCTCTGCTGTGGCCAGGGAGTGCAGTGGAGGATGGCCCAGGTGCTTGGGCCCTGCACCCCATGGGAGACCAGGAAAAGCACCTGGCTCCTGGCTCCTGCCATCGGATCAGCGCGGTGCGCCGGCCGCAGCGCGCCAGCCACGCAGCCATTGGAGGGTGAACCAACGGCAAGGGGAGGACCTTTCTCTCTGTCTCTCTCTCTCACTGTCCACTCTGCCTGTCAAAAAAAAAAAAGAGAGTGAGAAGACAAGCAACCAGGGCTAGAACCGGCACCCGTATGGGATGCTGGCACTTCAGGCCAGGGCTTTAACCTGCTGTGCCACAGCACTGGCCTCCAGTTACATTTTTTTTAAAGCTCTCAGGACTGGCATCATGGCGTAGTGGATAAAGCAGTTGCTTGCAACACCTGCATCCTACATCGGGGGTTTGAGTCCTGGCTGCCCCATTTACAACTCATGTCCCTGTTATTGACCTGGGAAAAGCAATGGAAGATGTTCCAAGTGCTTGGGCCCCTGCATCCACGTGAGAGACCTGAATGAAGCTCCTGGCTTCAGCCTGGCCCAGCCCTGGCTGTTGCAGCCAGCTGGGGAGTGAACCAGCAGATAAATCTCTCTATCTTTTCCCCTCTCTCTGTAACTCTTGACTTTATAATAAATAATCCTAAAAAAAAAAAGCTCTCTACATGAGAATTACTGCTCTAAAAGTATTCCAATTTGAAGATTTAACTGTCTCTAACTTCATTCTTATAGGTCTCTTCAAAAAGAGGAAGTTTGGAAACTAAAGATGATATTCCATTTCGAAAAGTTCTTGGTAATCCGGGTAGAGGATCTGTTAAGACTGTCGCAGGGAGTGGAGTAGCTGTTACTCGTTCAGTTCCTTCTTTGACATCTACATCATCACCTCTTAGATCAGGATTATTAGAAAACCGGTAAGAAAGACTTCTCTTAACTATATCTGTTTAAAAATGTCTTTTGGGCCTTTTATAAAGATGAATAATTTCAGGAGAAAAAGGAAAAAAATATAGATCACATTTTTAATAGAAAAGTATTTGTTTTACAGAGTTTGTTAGTGACATGTTGTGCTTACTGGTATACAATATATTAATCTAAATAGGATGCTAGAGTGGGCATTAGGTTAGCCATTAAGACAGAGTACCTCAGTTTGTTTCCTTAGGGCTCAAATAACCTGTTCCTGCCAACCTTTATTGTGTTCCTGGCTCCTGGCTCTGGCCCTGACCATTGTGCGCATTTGGAGAGTGAGCCAGGGATAGGAGCTCTCTCTTACTTCCTCTCAAAGAAAAAGTCAGAAAAACTTTAAGTATTATATAGAGAATTAGATAACAGTAATCATGTATTCTGTCCTTGAGTATGTTGGTGTAAAATTTTTAATGATATGAATGACTTTTCAAGCTAACTTTTGTTTCCCTTTGTTCTTTATAGGACTGAGAAGAGGAAAAGAATGCTATCATCGGGCTCAGAGCTAAATGAAGATTACCCTAAGGAAAATGATTCCTCATCGTAAGTTGCTGTAAAAGTTTTTATAGTACTAGCTCACTGGTTGTTTTTTTTTTTTTTTTTTCCCCTCACTGTTTACTATACTACTGATAACAGGGAAGTTTGGTTGAATGGTGCTCAGGATACAGGAATTCCAAAGATAGATGTGAAGAATTTTAGTGCTTTGATGACAGTACATTGTAGGCTCATCCAAGAGGGAATTTGGCTATTGCTATTGATTTGTCATTTTATTGCATTTCTACTGCCTTTTAAAATTTGCACTACTTACAGGAAAAATAGAATTGATGTACTCTGAACAAGTGTTCCTTCCTGGCTGTGTGTGTGTGTGTGTGTGTGTGTGTGTTTTAACATTTGTTTTTATTTATTTAAAAGAGTTATGATGGGGGAACAAGAGTGAGAGAGCATCCATTTGCTGGTTCCCTCCTCAGGTGGCTGCAATGTCCAGGATGGGTCAGGCTGAAACCAGGAGCTTTATCCGGGTCTCCCACATGGGTGGCAGGGCCCAAACCCTTGGGCCTTCTTCCATTATTTTCCTAGGCCATTAGCAGAGAGCTGGTTTGGAAGTGGAACAGCTGGAATATGAACTGTCACCCATATGGGATGTTGGCATTGCAGATTTATCTGCTACACCACAGTGCTGGCCCCCTGGCTGCTGGTTTTCTTGTTTTTTTAAAGATTTATTTATTGATTTGAAAGTCAGAGTTACACAGAGAGAGGAGAGGCAAAGAGGGAGAGAGAGAGAGTGAGAGAGAGAGAGAGGTCTTCCATCTACTAATTCACTCTCCTATTGGCCGCAACGGCCAGAGCTGGGCTGATCCAAAGCCAGGAGCCAGGAGCTTCTTCCAGGTCTCCCACATGGGTGCAGGGGCCCAAAGACTTGGACCTTCTTGCACTGCTTTCTCAGGCCATAGCAGAGAGCTGGATTGGAAGTGGAGCAGCCAGGACTTGAACTGGTGCTGCAGGTGGTGGCTTTACCCAGTATGCCATAGCACCGGCTCCCTGGTTGCTGTTTTAATGTGAACCCCTTTCTTCTTTCTTTTAACCTTATTTTTTTTTAACATTACTCATATAAAAAGTCAATTCATGGGTAAAAGGATGTAAGTCATATGTAATGTAAAGAGCAGTAATTTTTCAGATGTATTTTTGGGCTTGGACAAAGAGGAATAGACCAAAGCTGGGCAATCGCCAGTTCATAACCCTCTTCCCCATCATGGGAGAATGCTTTAGTTTTAATCTTCTGGAGCAGAAAACTTACTACACAGTTGTCAATTTATACTTCAGTATCTTTACAGAAATTAGTTGATAATTGGTTAATTGGTATTTGAGGTCATTGGTGTCATCAGAAAGGAATGGGGAGAAAAATCCCAAGAAGTATGTTAATTGATTCTGCTTATATAATGAACGTCCTGGTAGGTGATAAGACTGGTATCTGAAACAAACTGTAATCTCTGTGGTCTTGGATCCCTTCTATTTTGTTGATCTGATCTGCCATTCTTAATAAGTAGCTTCTATTTTGTGGACCAAGATAGATAATTCAATCTGCACTTTCATGTTTGCATTCCCAATAATGAGAAAGAGAAAAGATGAGCAAACTGTTTTCCTTCAGGCTAAGAATTGCGCACACTCCTTTGATACATACTACATTGCACAAAATATAGTCACATGTTTATATCAAGATATGGGAAAGTCTGAGAAATATGTCTACCTAAAATTCAGTTGGTATGACACACAGTGGTCATTTGGGACAGCTAACAGTTTGCCATAGTTTACTCCTCTAGCCACCAAAATAATATGGCCACCAAAATTCACCGTTCTTCCATACGTAGAGCATCCTTATCCTTATCCTGATGGAGCCAGCCTCAAACTCTCATGTAAATATCGTATCCAGCTCCGAGTCTAGGATCTGTGGGTGATGTGCAGTCCTCTCTGTAAAATACAGATGTGCTTTGGACCTGTGACCCTCTTGTGATCTGGTAGCAAAAAACAAAAGGCAAGTAATCTGTATTCCCCACTCCCACCCCTGTGCATACAGACATTGCTGGAGTGGGAAAAAGATAACTACAATAAAATTTTCTCTTTAGGAAAGAATAGGAAAATGGAGGATTCTGTGGTCTACCGCAGTGATGAGATCTTGCTAGGCAGAAATTGTGAAGACAGATCAGATAGTGGGGTAAGTTCCTGGTTAGTTTGTTCAGCAATCTGTTCTCTGGTAGGAACCCTCTTGCTGATAGCTGTTTTTTAAAGTCACTCTTTTTTTTTTTTTTTTTAAGATTTATTTATTTATTTGAAAGGCAGAGTTCCAGAGAGAGAGAGAGGTAGAGAGAGAGGGACAGGTCTTCCATCTGCTGGTTCACTCCCCAATGACCAGGGCTGGGCCAGGCCGAATCCAGAAGCCAAGAGCTTCTTCCAGGTCTCCCACATGGGTGCAAGAACCAAAATGCTTAGGCCATCTTCCACCGCTCTACCGAGGTGCATTAGCAGGTAGCTGGAATGGAAGTGGAGCAGCAAGAACTTGAACTGGCACCAATATGGGATGCTGACACTGCAGGCAGTGGTTTTACCCACTATGCCACAGTGCCAGCCTCTTTTTTAAAAACTCTATTTCCTTGTGTGGTTTTTTGTTTGTTTGTTTTGTTAAAGATTTATTGATTTATTTGAAAGGCAGTGTTACAGAGAGGCAGAGAAAGAGATGGAGAGATCTTCCATCCACTGGTTCACTCCCCAGATAGCCGTAATGTCCAGAGCTGTGCCATTCTGAAGTCAGGAGTCAGGAGCTTCTTGTGGGTCTCTCATGTGGGTGCAGCAGCCATAGGACTTGGACCACCTTTCACTGCTTTCACAGGCCGCAGCAGAGAGCTGGATTGGAAGTAGAGCAACCAGCGCCCATATAAGATGCCAGCACTGCAGGAGGCAGCTTTACCCATTATGCCACAGCACCGGCCCTGAAGATCTATTTTTATTTATTTGAAAGGCAGAATTACAGAGAGAGAGGGAGAGACACAGAGAGAGGTCTTCCATACTCTGATTCACTGCCTAAATGGCCATAGTGGTCAGGCTGGGCCAGGCCAAAGCCAGGAGCCAGGAGATTCTTCTCTGTGGGAGACCTGGAAGAAGCTTCTGGCTCCTGGCTTTAGATTGGCACAGCTCTGGCCGTTATGGCCATCTGGGGAGTGAACCAGTGGATTGAAGACCTCTCTCTCTGTGCCTCTGCCTCTCTGTAACTCTGACTTTCAAGTAAACAAATAAAATCCTTAAAAAAAAAAAAAAAAAAAAGCAGTTGGCTTTTTTGAGTCACATGGTCTCAGATTAGAAGGCAAGTTTAATTCTAGGCCTTTGACACAGAGTGCTGTGTTGCTTTTCATCCTTAATTGCAAGTTGGCTGCCTTAGCGTAGATGTGTCTTTAGTAGGACCTTGTTGAAGGCAGTAAGAAGCACTGACATAGCTCAGGGTTCTTAACTGTCTGAATCTTTTCCCTCAGAGCTGTAGTTACAGAGCGTCTAAGGCCTGCTTTCCAGTGTGCAGTTACAGGAAGCATGGGGCCTGCCTCTCAGAACATTACAGATGACAGTCTCAGGTAACGGTGCTGAAGCACAGTGATGATAAACAGCTTTCCAGTGTGTAATGTGCTATGTATTTCCGACTTCTTATGGTAACTCCCTGTTTATAGTAACATTTGTGTTTCATGGTCCATTTGTGGGAGCAACATTCATTCTAGCTAGTTAAGCACAAAGGCATTTACACGTAGTGAATATTAGTTAAATGGCTTACAGAATCATTGGGAAAGCTGAAAAGACAGACTTTGAGTTTCCAGGAGTGATTTTGAGAGTCATGCCACAGAACAGGCCACCAGAGATGTTCTTGGCTGGTCTGTCATGTAGCTAAAAGCTGAATTGGAAGTGGTCATGAAAACTAATTTTTTTAAAAGTTTTTTTTATTTATTTGAAAGTTACAGTTACACGGAGAAAGAAAGGCAGAGAGAGAGAGGTCTTCCATCTGCTGGTTCACTCCCCAATCAGAAGTGGAGCAGCCAGGACTTGAACTGGCGCCCATATGGTATGCCGGCACTGCAGGTGGCAGCTTTACTCGCTACGCTACAGCACTGGCCCCCATGAAAACTATTGTCTTTAGAATCACGCTGTCACTGTCGATGGGAAATCCTATCCAGAAAAAAACCAGATACCTCTGATGTGACATACACTGGCACTAAGCAGAATTCCAGGAAGGCCTTTGTGTTTCTTATAGTTTTTGGATCTTGGTGTAATTGTGCTGTTTTAAATCTCACTCGGAATGTTAGCTAGGAAATACAGTTTATGTGCAGCAGAGAGATGTGCTAGAAATTGGCTGTGGTGGCCTGCTGCATGCTAGTCCACCATATTCACCGTACTTGGAGGAAATACCAGTTGTCCCACTTAGAATTCTATCTGAGGAAACCCTAAGTTACTGATTCCATTCTGGACTAATAATACATCCTTTTTTTTTTCCTTTCATTTTTTAAAAGATGTATTTATTTATTTGAAAAGCAAAGTTAGAGAAAAAGAGATGAAGAGGGAGAGGGAGAGATCTTCTACCTGCCGGTTTACTCCTCAAATGGTCAGGGCTTGGCCAAACCAATATCAGGAGCCTGGAACTCAATCTGGTTTTCCCATGTGGGTGGCAGGGGCCCAAGCACTTGGGTGATCTGCTGCTCCTTTCCCAGGCACAGTAGCAAGGAGCTGGACCCGAAATGGACAAATTGGAAATTGAACTGGTGCTCACATAGGATGCGGATGTTGGGTTACAGCTCAACCTGCTGCACCACAACACCAGCACCTCATCTTTTCTATACTATCACATTTAGGTTATTGAATTTGGGATTCCTAGAACATGATTCTAGATAAATGTACTTATGCAACTGACTTGTAAGAAGTTCAGAGGGAAAACGACTGAGTGAGGGAAGCAGACCACAGAAGGGGAGGGAGCTGAGCAAGCATGTGATCGTTGCAGGTGTAAGTCCCCCAGAGAG